ACAGTAAAGTCACATGTCTATAGAGCTGTGTCATATTTACTGGGTGTGGTAGAATTTCCAGGTTTGATTTCATCTGGAGTTGGCAACCTTAAGCAAACGAGGTGAAGAAGCTGGGAATTATGCATGTTTTTTGGTCTATTTTTTCCCCACTTTTCCTTTCATAGTAGCCAGCTTAAATTAAGGGTTTTCATCATTCTGAATGAATATAAAATATTTATCTTTAACCAAGGGATTGCCAAACCCATGTCCACAAGAATACTTCTAATACATTTTTTTTTTAGAATGGCCAAAATCTTGTGAAATTGCCAATCTCATGAACACCACCATCTCTCAAGTTTCAGATAAGAATGCAGAAATCTCTTTAGAATATTTCTAAATATTTCTCTTTAAAATCCAGTGCAAGAATATTGAAAGCATGCAAGATTTAGTGATATTGTGAGATGTCTGCAATATTTATTCATTTATTTATAGGGCCTTCACCCTCAGGCAAAATGTTTTTAATATAGAGATCTATATATTATAATTACGTATGTTCTACTATTGAGCCATGTCCATATTCTTAGTCAAATCTATAGCTCTATTAATTATTACAGCTTATCACTAATCAACACATGGCCAGTTAGTACACTAATTTTACAAGCTAAATTCTGTGATGGAATGTGAGGATGACCTTGGAAGACAGGGGGAAGAGATGCCACCGAGGGAACTATCAGATAAAAGAGAAAGGCGTCTGCAAGAGAGTAACGGTCAGAAAAAGAAATTTAGGAAGGACCTGTCCTAACTACTCAGGCGGTAAGTAGGGATGGCAGGAGATTTGTATTTTCAGTCTTGCAAGATTCTGTTAATGTAGCCTTACAATAAAGTAGAATTAGCTCATCTAGTTGTGCTTCCTGTCTGGTTTATCTGGGAGGGCTGACAAGGTAATGGAATTTGTTAGTACACAAGAAATAAGCATAGTCAGGCACATTTCTAATACTTTGTGGCACCTCAATCACATATGGAGGCAAGGGAAGAACCAGCTTATATTCCAGTTCATAAAAATGTTCTTCTCTATTCATCTGAACCTGGAGTGATTCTCCTAAGCAGGCATACTTAAACATTCAAACATGCAAACTTTGGTGCTCAAATCAATGTAGTAGCAACAGTAACTTTTTAGACAGAGGTTTTTTTTGCATTTTCATTGCTGGGACACACATTTGCTGCACTTATGTTCATGGGGGAGGGGACAAGTGTGCAGGGTCTGGCACTTTTATCACCCTCTGGAAGGGGAAGCAAGTAAGTGGGGCTAATGCATTCATCTGCTCATTAAGGGGAGGGTACAAGTACCCATTTTTAGTAATAGCTAAGAGGACAATGTGGAGGCTTTACTGAACAGAGCTGTTGGGGATATTTTTGACCCTCAGCTCTGCTCTGCTAGTTGGCTCTTTTCAAGTGTGATTTCTGAGCAGTTAACCTCTTCCATTGTGACATAAGAAACCTCTTTTGATAGCATGTGTAGGTCCTGGCCCCGGACAGTAATTGCATAGAAGTAATCTCTTAAAACAGTTCAGTTTCTACATCACTGGGACAGTGCAGAACTTTTGGAGAGAGTCATGAGCCGAAGTATGATGCTCAAGCATGTAATGTAATCCTGAATGACATTGATCAGCAAATGCAGTGCTAAGTAATGAAGCTATCATTTAATTCCATAATTTTCCAGTGACAAATGACACCGGGTTCTGCTATTAAAGTTTATAGAGATGTTGTGTCAGAATCTTTGATTTAGAAAGACAGGTAAAAACAAGCTGATAATAGCTAGTGAAACAAAATAAGCTGCTTGTTCCACAAGCTGCATTGACTGCTTCCAGGTTCGGTTAAGGGTGCTGGTTGTAAGATATAAAAGCCTTTGTGGCATGGGGCTGAATTATTTGGGGCACTGCTTTTCCATAATTATGTCTATCCGTCCCATTAGGCCTGGCAGATGAGGCATGCTTCAGGTTCTGTCTGTTAAGGAATGTCACCTAGCAGGGCCCAGGAAGAGAGCCTTTTCTGTCGTGCCCCCCCTTTGGAATATGATTCCCCCAGAGATCAAATTGGCCCTGACCCTGTCAGCCTTTGTAAGGCCTTAAAGATTGATTTTGTCACCAGGCCTGGGGATCAGGAAGCGGGGCTGAGCCTGTACATTACTTATATTGATTTGTGACCGATGAGTCTTTTTTTACTCGGGCTGCTGTTTCTTGTATTGTTTTTCTGTTTTCTGTTAACACTGTTAGCCACCCAGAGTCATGAATTTGAGATGCGTGGCCATTTAAATGGAATAAATAAATAATCCAAGTTTGGGAGCCTGAAAATCTGCACGTTTGTCAGATTAAGCTGTGTTATGAAGCAGCAAAAATATACGGCTCATTAAGATTATACTGAAATAACAAAGACTTGGAATACAGAGCAGGCATATTCAGTAATCCCCCCACCCCCCACCCCACCCCAGGGTTGCTAAGTTTTCAGTTTGAACGGATCATCTTTAGTCAACATTTTCTGGAAAGAACTTGTGTGGATTCTCATGCAATCTCCATGTGAATGTATGTGTTTATAGTATCTCACGTATATTCTTGCTCTCATCTGTTAGAAAAATGGAACTAAATGTGTCCCATTGCTTACACAATCTTTCTGAGCTTCTTTCGGTCTTAGCAATTATTTCTTTTTCTCAAATGGGCTGAGTTTTAATGAGTCATCTGAGTTGCTACAGTCTACTAGTCTGTTGTCATATGTGGTCATTGCCAACCCCCGTTTTTTCCTGATTGTGCATTTTAGGGTGCATATGTATTTTGGGTTTTTCTATTTATTTGACAGGTTGGAAATCAGTTTCTTTAAGTAAAAGTTGTGCACTGACCTATTTCTTACATATGCCTAATTGTAAAGAGACATATTAACTATTTGGAACAGCCTCTGGAAGCAGAAACCACTAACTTACTTGCAATATAATTCATAGCATGCAAGTCATAATTTTTGCACTCATAACAGCTAGGGCATATGAGTTCATGATGTGCATGGCTCATAATGAAGTTGGTCAGTGGCAGCTAGGATAACAGAAAGCTGTCATACACAATCAGTGTTTTGCTGTATTTTTTTGTTGTTGGATTATGTGATGTCATTAATGACCAAGGACTAAAACAGTTGTTGGGTTGATCTACCATAGGAACTAGGCTGGAAATAACTGTTTTTAGGAACTCACAATGGATTGGATGAACTGTTTCGAATATATAATTTTATGTTGCACAGTGGGCTAAGGACCCAAGGGTTCTATATGTATATTCTTTTAAAATGTATTAATTAAGCATTCCTGTGATTAAATCTATTTAGTTGTAACTTTTTTGGTAGTGTTTCTTGCACTCATAATCATTGCTAACCCAATTTTTTAGTAATAATAATATGCCCTTTACCACTTCTTTTGATTGTCTTCCTTACTAGCTGAACTTTTAAAAAACAATTATCAGAGAAGAAATTGGATGGCCCATTGTAGCAAAAGCAATGAAAAGTCTCATCTCACCTTAAAAGCTTTTCTATTAATTGTCCAGAGGCATCCATAAAAGCTTATACTATAACCATTATGTTCATCTTTGAATATTTCTCAGAATTTTAGTATGCTTCTGTACACCCAGTTTACTTGTTTCCTGCAGAATGTATGAATGATGGATAGGGATTCATTCTCAATATAAAGATTTCCTGAAGACAGGGTTTATTCCTATCTACTATATGGAATGACTGGACATAACGATTAGAATCAGCTTTCTGATGTGTAATTCTGCTTGCCCCAACCTTTCAGCAGCAGGGACGGTAGTGATGGTGGTGGTATAGTATATTTAGCTCCAGATAGGTTAACTTCCAAGGTTAGCATAGTCTCCAAATGGTTATCTTGTGGTAACTAGGTGCTAGTTACTATGCAAGAGACTTGGCAGTTACTTTATTTTCAGAGATTAACATAGATAATTGATGGGAGGAGCCAAGATGGTAAGGAATGCACATACGTGGTCTATGTGCTCTTAAACGTGGATAATTGCCATAAGTGCAGCCTATTTTTCCCTGGCAGTTCATCAAGGAAAGGCTAACTTGTTTTTGAGTTACAAGAAAATGCATTGTTCTTCTATTGATCCAAGACAAGAATATTTTAAGAGAAAGAGATATGAGGGAACTTACCTTGTGTAGAATTTGCTTTGCAAGAGTCTCTGTTATATTTAGGTTCTGTTTTTCAGTTATGAAAAATAGGGCCACTTACACATTTCCCAGCCATGTCTGTATACCTACAATTAAATAACTATTTCAGGATGAAACAGTTTTGTTTGTGATTTTGAAGATAGATGAGCTTATGAACTGTTACTTAGTCAAACACACACACTGAGAAACTATGAGAAACACTGGGAGCATAGGGGTCCACAGGAGGGATCAAGGGGGACAAGTGACAAAATGTGTGCCACCATATCAACTTCACCGCTTATGTACTTGCACATGACATCACAATGCATGTACAAAAGCATGGAGCTTGCATTATGATGCCATGACACACATTTCATCATTTGGGCATTTTCCTGGTTTGGAACAGCTGGCTATGACTGGGAGGGAGTCGGAATCATGGTATAGTGACAAGGCACATGCTTTGTCCATAGAAGGTGCCAGATTTGGTCTCTGGCACTTCTACTTTGAACCAATGTCTGGATAGCAGAGCTGAAGCTGAGCTGATGATCTTAAAGAATAAGAATAAATGTTATTATTGTAACAATAGGTTGGAAAATCCTAGACTCAGTGGCAATCAAAATACATAGTATTGGGCTTGACTGATCAATCTGCTGTCTCTTTGTGTAAGACAGCATTATATATCTGAATATTTTTAACTGAAAATCTGCAATTGTCTGGATTTTAAAATTGCACTGAACTTTTATCTCCTCTCTTCTCTCTGTTTCAACACCAGGTGTTCCTTGCCTGCCAGAGAGTCTGAACCTTCACAAAGAACAGCAAAGGTCAAATAAGCCAGGAGATGTCCAAATGTTTAGCCAATCAGAATTGCGAACCATTGAGCAGTCGTTGCTTGCTACACGTGTGGGAAGCATTGCAGAACTTAGTAAGTGCACATAATACTCTCTTTTTTCTCCTTTAGATTTTTGAGCAACCACATCCCAGTTTATAAACACATACACCCGGAGAACAGGTTTGTGGAGGGTACGTACAGTACTTGTTAGGAAAAACTAATGTGAGTTCTTATTCTCTTGGTGAAGTTGTTCAGAAGACAGGTTTTGAGTCATGATCAACTTTTTTGCTACATAAGAAAATAAAACCTAGGGATGAACCAAAACAATACAAATTTATTTTTGGTTTGCTAGTATACCAAGATCAAATTAAGCATTAGTAAAGATCCCCCTTTTGAACCTTCTGGTTCAAGGTCATGGAGCTAGATATAGTTTGTTTGGGGACAGGAAGATGGCAGATAGGGAAAGAGTTATGTACTTGTCACAGGGAGTAGGGAATTTTACTCATCCTTAAAAAGCACACATCAAGTTGTATATGTATATATGTATGTGTGTATATGTATGTTTGTGTGTGTGTATACACACACATACATACATAAAATTCCACAATCTTTTATAAACAGAAGGAAAATGGGGTATTTGTATTTGGTTAGCCTTTCACCCAGTAGAGTGCTGTTCTTTCTAATTTTCACTGAAGGACTTCTAAGGGCTCCCTCCAGTACCAAGCCACACCTATTTGCTGATTCCACATTTCTCAAAAAAAGACAAATTGTCATGTTCTATCAGAAGCTGCTGCTGTGCTCTGCAATGGTCAGCTCGGATGGATAGAGACCTAGGTAAGGTAGGAAACAGACAGTAAGATTTGAGAGTGCCCTTTGCCTTCATCTTATATCCTCTAGTTACGTGGCCTCTTTTGGAATAGGCTGAGCTTTCATGCCTTTGTTTATACAGTCTAATACCACAGGAGATAATCAGCTGACTCTGCCTGGCAGGGCAATATATTAAAAGTAATGTATTACCCACTTAATTTTTGTATTCCAGGCTGCTGTAGGAACTGGATCAATCTTCAAAGCTCTGTATGCCTTTTCTTCTGTCCCTTATCTGCCCTCCCATATCCAAGTAATTCTGTCCTTTGCTCCTTCAGCTCCCTCATCCTCCTGTTTTCTCAAAGGACTACTACCTTCATGTTTCAGATAACTTTCCTTTTTTTTCCCCATTCCTACTCAGTATGCTCAGTATCCTAGACCACCTGCTTGTTGTTATGTCTCTTAGCATCTAATGCCACCCAGCACTTCAGTCTGCTGACTTTCCCTTCTTTTATCCTTGGAGCTCACTTTTTAAATACATTTCTGGCAGGATTCTGAATAACTAGCCATTTTAATTTCCCACCTACAATATATATTCATACTGGGTTATTTTGGGAAAATCAGTATGGTTGTTTCCTAACTCAGGTGCTGCTTGGAAAGCTGTTGTGATCAAGTTTTTTTATGTGACTGTTGGCTTTACCAGCAGGAAAGGCTCAGGGCCTCCTCAAACTAGAACTATCCTCCCATGTAGCTTTTATATCTATTTAAGTTTGCTTTCAAATGACTATTCCCATAGAGATACACTTGAGAAAACATTGTGTTGAAGTACACATTCTATGAAGGAATGCAATTTATACTTTTGACAAAATATTAAAAATGAATGTACGTACAGATAACTCATATATATGCTCTGTGTTGCCTTTGTATCTTACTAGTGTTCTGGAGTATTTTTATACAGATAATGTTTGTGAATCCTCTTGAATGTTCAGTATTTCTGCCTAAATATGACCTAAAATGTGATCTGTTCTCCAAACAAGACCTATAACTAGATAAAGAGTACCAATCAAACAAATATGTCAAAAACATTATACTTGTTCATTTATTTATTGAAGAAAATGATCCAAAGCTACATGTTTGTGTGTAGCAAAAGTATGTGTACCTCTAGGATGATCAGTTCATTTGAAGGGGAAATTAGAGTCAGGTATTTCAGTCAATGAGATGACAATCATGTATGAATGTGGGAGATCCTTCCTTATTTAAAAAACAGAATTCTGGATATTCACTATTGAAGTCTGATCTTCACAACACAGGTACTGTATGTGGAAGTGTGTCATGGCTTGAACAAAAAAGATTTCCGAGGATCCCTGAAAAACAGTAGTTGATGCTCACCTAGCTGGAAAAGGTTACAAAACTATTTCCAAAGCGTTTGGAGAGTTTGGACTCCACCAGTCCACTGTCAAGCAGATGGTGTACAAATGAAGGCAGTTCAACCCCATTGTTACCCTCCCCAGGAGTGGTTGACCAACCAAGATCACACCAAGAGCAAGGCATGTAATACTCTGGGAGGTCTCAGAGAACTCTAGGGTAATGTCGAAGGAACTAAAGGCCTCTCTTGTGTTGGCAAATGTCAGTGTTCATGAGACCACTATCAGGACAACATTGAAGAACAATGATGTACATGCAGGGTTGCAAGGAGAAAGCCACTACTCTCCAAAAAGAACATTGCTGCCTGCCTGCAGTTTGCAAAAGACCATGTGGATAAGCCAGAAGGCTGTTGGAAGAATGTTCTGTGGACGGATGAGACCAAAATAGAACTTCTTGGCTTGAATGAAAAGCCTTCTGTTTGGCGAAAGGCAAACACTGCACTCTAGCATAAGAACCTTGTTCCATCTGTGAAACATGGTGGTGGCCATATCATGATTTGAGCCTGCTTTGCTGCTTCTGGATCAGGATGGCTTGCCATCATTGATAGAACTATGAATTCTGAACTGTACCAACAAATTCTACAGGAAAATGTCAGGTTTTTTTTTCAGTGAACTGAAGCTCAAGAGGAAGTGGGTCATGCAGCAAGACAATGACCAAAAACACACAAGTCGTACAACCAAGGAATAGTCAGAGCAGAAGAAAGATATGTTTTGGAATCGCCAAGTCAGAGTCTTGACTTTAATCCTATGGACATGTTGTGGAAGGACCTGAAATGGGCAGTTTGTGCAAGGAAGCCCATTAAGATCCCTGAGTCATTTTTAGGTCATATTTGTGCAGAAATGTTGAAAATTCAAAAGGGTTCACACACTTTTTAGCACTGCTGGACATACATATGCACCCATATGGCTGCCCAACTTGTAGGGCAATTCTGGATGGACAGCAAACATCTCCCTTAAAGCAATGAATAAAAAAATGTCAGACAAGAATTGATGTGTGTTCAGGAGCAAGGGGGCAGCCACTAAAAAGGCCTGCCTCCTGGTCTACACTCCTCTCTAGATGTCTTCATGGGATCGGCAGATTTTACTGGATATGGCAGCTTCTAATATGGAGTGTAGACTTCTTTTTCCGCCTTATCTCTCAGTTTAGTGTTAGTTCTCTGCATGTTACAAACGCTCAGTATTTTGATTTGGGCCAGTTTTCTAGCTTTTCCTTATGTCAGCTTAACTTTACATTTAATTCCACCCCCACCCCGCTTTTAGCCACTGCATGACAAAGACTGACTTTGTTTGTGCTTAGCATTCTTGTGTTATTATCAGATGTAGTAATCAGAGTAACAGATATGCATCAAGAAAGATACACAGCAGTAATAATTTGCTTTTCCTACTTTGGAATTTTGTTCTGTAAATGCTCTATCCTTGATTTGAGGACCTGCTGTTGCTAGGCAACCCATAATAGGAAAAGGTCCCTTGTTGAGATTGCTTTGGTGTTAAAAAAGCAATACAGCGATGGAAAAGGAAACAAAGGCACGTGATATGGATAATGAAAGAATAGGGGCCAGAACTCTTAGGGCCCCAGAAAATGCTCTGTCAAGAGCCTAGTCTTATAAGGATAAGAAAAAAGAAACTTAACACCTAAAATGGTTATGATACTGATTAGCATCCATAATGTCAGTTTCTGTTAACTTCTCTTTTCAAAATTGGTGTTTGTGTGCTGGAGAAAAGAGGAAGCATTACGATTTCATTTAACTGGCATGGGAAAAGAGTGACCAATCATTGCTAAATCTATATGGAAAAATCAGAAGGAAGTTTACAGTTAATTAAACATGTTTTACAAGTCAGCAACTTGCACAGAACCTAGCTGATTTTATCATTGTGCATATTGCTGGATTTGGACGTAGGAAACAGAATTTCAAAACCCAATTCGGTCATGAAGCTCAAAAGTGGGCACACCACTATTTTCAGTATAGACTCCTTGGGCAGATTGGATAAAAATGCTAAATGCTGTTTTCTTTAACCATGGTTTATTAACTGAATTCATTCAACATGCTAAACCATAATCACTGGGTTCACACAGCATGTGAAGCCAAACCCAGCACACATTATGGCTTAGCATGATATGTGAAACCAAATCTGTCAGATTAATTAGAAATTGTATGTAGTAGTGAACCGAAGTTCCAGAGTTATTCAGAGGGAGAGAAAATATTATCTCTTTCAGTTTTCTGGATGTTGTGCATAATTTTATAAAAGGTTTATCATGTCAGCACTTTTTGTCTGTTTAAAAACATGTAGAAAATCACATGCTTATCTGCTTCAGTTAATTAGTTAATTAAATTAATTAGTTGATTTAGTTAATTAGCATCATGCATTCATTCCATACGCTCCCAAATCTAAGTTTCCAAAATGAATATTTGATCCAGATTTTACTCTTAAATTTTTTTATCCAATCTCACTATGAATATAGCAGACTGATTGATTAGAGGGTTTTGAAGGATAATTAACTCATGTCCAATGATCTGGAAGCATTTATTTACTTATTTATATATGATTAGGTAACAGCAAAACACAAAACAAATTAAAACTGTAAGAAACAATATACAGACTGTAAAACAACAACAACAACAAAATGATTGTAGTATGGCACCCACAGTCATCTAGGGCTGAAACAATACTTCATTTACTTGTTAGCAAAATGCACAAACTTCTCACTCATGGGCATCTGTGCTTCTCCTCCATGACCACTACCGGGAACCGCCCCACCAGGTGGGAGTGGAACTACTACAACACAGTGCTTCTAACTCCCAACCTTTAGAGACAGTCCATAATGATTCCATAGTCAGTGGTACTGAACACTGCTGGGAGGTTTCATGGGATTGAGAGAGGTAATTCCCCAATCCTATAGAAGATTACCCACCAGCTGACCAATAGCATTTCTATCCCATTACAGGAGATGGTTCCTGATTAAAAAGGATTCAAATCGTGCATGTTATCCATGGTATCTGATTTGTCACCACTACTTCCCTAAAAAGAGAAATCAGACAACAGTTATCAAACATGATCAGGGAGGACTTCAAGGCAGGGAGCATTAGGTTCCCTCTCAGAAAACATTGGTTATGTCTCAAATTTAAACACTCACTTCTCACCTAGCCACCTGAAGGAGCCAGGAGAGGCATGACACAAGCCCACAAGATTATCTCACCACAGTGGATTCCTTCCAACTAGCGTCCAACCAAAAGTGGATACAAGCAACTTTATCTTCTGAAAAACCTGCAAATTCATCCTGGTGCTTGTAGGAGCCTTGCCCATCTTTCCATTAAAGGGTTCAGGTTGCTCTGTGCAGTATTGCTGGGTGGCAATCAAGAGATTGCCACCCAGCAAGGAGAAAGATTGACACTTTGATGTTCTTACCACCACTTTGTAGGCTCAAACATGAGCTCTTACCTGTATCCACTTCTGATTTTTGCACTGTAGAAAAGTTGCTGTAGATTTCTTTTCAGACACTTCCTTTCCCTCAGCTCCTCAGTAAACCTAGGAGTCACTTGGGGTTGGCAAGTGGGCAGAGGTGTTACTGGAGCAATATCATCCTGTGCTCTGCCTGCCCCCAGATTCCATCAACTAGGCACAGTATGGAGCTGCCCACCAAATGTATGGGGAAGGTTTTAGAAGTACCCTCTGGAAAACCTCGAATCATTTTAATAGGTCCACCACCCTGTGGATGTTTAGGACCTCTGTGGTGCAGTTTGATGAGGAAAGGGTCATGAAAATGATTCATCGTGGAAAGGACAGATGTTAATATCCTCAATTTTCAAATCACAATTTCTCTGCAACAAAAGTAAAGACCAGGTTCAGGGGGTGCCCTCCAATATATGTTGGGGCTGCAGTTGTAACAAACCCAAGGTCATTGTGGAAACCATTAACTGCATTAGACCCCTTCCCCACAGTATGGAGGTTGAAGTAAGGAAGACTAGCAGTCTTGTGAACTTCAACACCAGCTCAGAGATGAGTTCCAAAGGCTCAAGAAAGGCAACTGCTGGGCAGGCAAGTAGTTAATATATCAGCAGCAGACCTAGCTTGTCAGTGCAGCCCGATTCCATTCACAGACACTTGCATCCATTCATGTCTGGTGCAGAGCTCCCCATTACTACAAGGTCTCACAAAACTCTCCTACCTGGCCTTGACTTTGTGGCTGCTGCAGGACTTGAGACCTAGTTGGGCATATTTCCAATAGGGAAACATCCATGTCTTAGTAACATACGTGAGATCTGCACACTTGCCTGTCGCCATATCATATATGGATGTGAGCACAGACCTGGTGTTTACCAGCAGCAAGAGACCAAGGTACCTGAGAATTCAGTCACCTGGGCCCAGGCCCTGATGGAAGAACCATTAACCCCTAGGTTGTCCTTATCTTTTTCCTAAACTGTTAATGAAAGTTTGATACAATTTTGCTAAAATACTCTAGGCTTTCAGAGAATTGCTATGCAGTGAGGAACATATCCATTTGGAGTTAATTTTACAGGTTGGCTGCATACAGGATCCACTCCCTGCTCTCTATCCTATTGGGAATTACAAACTTCTAAGGGATGTAGGATTCATTGTGAGTATAGTCATTTCCTACCAGTAGAAAAAGAAAAATGAACTTTTTAAAATGAAAGATTTGAGTCATAAGATATTGTAAAGTAAGCAGAAATACAATACACTGGAATCACAGCCTCTCTTTGCTTTTTTCCTCCAGATCGGTGGTTGTCTCCTGGTTTTGGTGTTAAGACTGTATTTTCTGCATAACTGTTTCCTGCCTCTTCATATGCTTGCCACTTATTTCACCAGGAGCTAGCAGCAGCAATCCCTTTATACATTATCAGGCTGTTCTACAGCTACATATAGACGGTTGCATTAGACTCACGTTCCTTATTCTGGCAGCTACCAGGTTCAGGTTAGAATTTGGCATTCTTGCTCAGATTTCTGGGAGCTGCTGTTCCAACCAATCTAGAGGGCATAAGGATGGGAAGATTTCTGTAGATCTGCTTTTACAAATCCCAGAGACATTCAGAAAATAAAACTGGTGAGTGACTGTAGTCCATGCTTTGTTCTGAAGGCTGCTGTGTCACACAATAAAAAAGGAAGGAAAAAAAAAAACATGGAGGGACATGTAGATACTGAACACTTTCCCCTGTTCACTAGGCTGACTAGAAGATTCAAACCCATGATATTGAACAATAGCCAGTGATGCTTAACTTGTTGTCTATCACAGTTCTTTCAGTTGCAGCTATTTGCAGAATTACTATTATTTTAAAGCCCATTCTAGGTTGCATGGAATACAGTTCCTGTTAAACATTTCAGGAATCTTAAGAAGTCTGTTATGCAATCCTAATTTTCTACAATTAGCAGACACAGAAAGGAAGAGGAGACTTTCTTAAAATAAAGGTGGAACTTGGCCACATGCTTTCTGTCACAAGCAAAACAAATATTGTGTGCTGGAATGAATTTCTTGCCAGGAGCAGCATGTTGGAATGTGTCTGGCTCGTTTTGTTAAAGAAAATTATCTGCCTCAGAAAATGTGCTTTATGAATAATATCCTTATTTCTACTAAGAAAACTGTAGGGTTTTTTTTTTCCAGTTGGCAAGAGTATGTAGAACATATTTTGTAAAGGAGTATGTTGATTTGGTAGATTTGTCAGCATGTTTGCTTAATGCTGTAAAGAATATAATTCTTCATTCTTTATTTTATTGTTTCCCCATTTTATCCCACTCTTTCTCTTAAAAAAAAACAACAACAATCCCCCAAGGTAATCAGCCAACATTAGAAGTAAGAAAATGATCAAGAACTGTGAGCGTAGGGAAAAAAACCTCAGTCAGCAATAAATAACAAATTTGATCAGTATATCAACTATGAGGCCCCCAATAATGCATAACCCCATAAACAGTAGCGTAAAGGCTCTTCTGCCTCAAAGGCCTCTCAAAAGAACAGTGACTTGGCCAGGAGCGAAAAACAACAACATTAAGAATGAAAAGTATAGTTTCTTCTTGAAGGCATTGTCCGTGGTATTTATTACAACTGAAAATGTCTAATTTCTTTTACTTCATGCGGGAGAGGAACACAGATCAAGGTGTTCAGATATTTATAACATAGAGGAGATGGCATAGCTAATTTAGGTTAACCTGTGTATCTAGGTCTCAAGACATTTGGATTTCAAGGCAAAAACAACATTTTCAATTGGGTCCAAAGACTAACTGATCACAGATCAATTAAGAATAATGTCATTTAAGCAACCTCAGAATAATATGTTCTTTTTAACTAGTTCTGATAGCATTTGGGGCTAAAAGAAGTTCTGTCTAGGGATAACTCTGTTTCTCAACTTGAAAATATCATAGAATTATATTTAGCATCATGGATAAAGAATCAAATCATCATTACTATCATAAATAATGTATGTTTATTAAAGCAATTCCTCATCTTTCAATGCCAGCTAGGGAATACTAGGAATTAAAATCCAATGCATTTGAAGAGCCCCAATTGAGGAGGGCTGTTGTAAAGCATAATTTTGCATCAATAAATGACATGTTATCTAGGTAGAGCCTATTCCGTAGTTTTCCAGAATGTCCTAGTCCAAACTTCCCCAGATTTACATAGCCAGAATTCCCAAAGTTTCTGGAGGACATCAAGCTGGGAAAAGGTTGTGTTCATCCATTGTAGAGAAAAGGATTATTTCCTAGCTGGAAAGCAAAATAAAGGTGAAATGTACAGCCTTCCTTGAGTTGAGCGTGACTACATGAACACAATTGTACAGGATTTTCAGCAACAGTGCAGAGGTGGTTTGCCATTGTTGTTGCTTTCTTCCATCAAACTATGTGTTGTTGTTATTTAGATTTATTACAGCCCAAAAGACTATTATACTCCAAAAGACTGGGTGTCTTACAACATATTGAATGTAGAATTAAAACAATTAAAAACAACAACAAAATTTAACAGTCCGGACAAGAAAACAACAAAAACAGTAAAAAAAAACACAACAGGGGCTCCACTGACACCCTAACCTGGTGTCAGGCCTAGGAACAGAGTCAGATCTTAAAGAGACTTCCAGAATCCCAGGAGACTGGCCACCATATGTATCTCTGGGAGATACAAGATTGTTTGCAAGCCCAAACAAATTCAGCCAATGGTGTTACCTGCTGACATGCTGCTGTCGTACCTTTGCATATTCTGAATGATACAATCATTCAGGGACAGGAGAGAACAACAGATGTCTTATTTATATTCATGGTGGGTGAGGGATGCCCCCCCACCCTCCTGGTGTTTCGAAGGGGCTTGAAGACCTGGGTTTTTGCCCAGGACTTTGGCGAGGGTGAGTGATGTCCCTTTGGATTGCGTGCATTTGTTTCTTGATCATTCCTATACAGTCCTTGTCACTTTTGCCATTTTTTATTTTCTTATTTTTGTCTCTTAGTGTATTTTTTTATTACTTAATGTTTTCACTTGTGAGCCACCCAGAGTTGTTGGGAGTTGGGCGGCATGCACATTTAAATAATAATAATAGAATATCTCCCCTTCGTAATAAATCTCATGCTGTAACTGTCCATAGCTCCTGCGCCCTCAGCTTGTATATTTCACTAACAGTGCTTATCAAGAGGGAAGCCTGTATTTGAAATAGGATAAGCAAAGCCACTGTGGTGACCCTTTTTCTCCTTTTCAGGTGACCTGGTGTCTCGGGCAATGCACCACCTGCAGCCACTCAGTGCAAAGCAACATAGCAATACCACGCCCATGCATCACCGGCAGGGGTCACTCTACTGGGAACCGGAGGCCTTGTACACCCTCTGTTATTTCATGCACTGCCCGCAGATGGAATGGGAGAACCCCAACGTGGAGCCTTCCAAAGTCACGCTACAGACAGAAAGGTAATGCTTCTGATGAATGGACCCACAGTTTCCTAATTCCAATATTTACCCTCAAGACAGGCAAACCTGCCTTTAAGGTTATTTTTAAAAAGATTAATTAAACAAATCATATTCTTAGTGATTCTAAGACAATCCTCTCATTTTAAGGGTACATCTTTAGAAATAAAATCTAGTCTTTCAAGTAAATCTAGTAGTTGCCAAATGCTGGCTAAGCACTGTAGGTTTCTTGACTCCGTCTATTTTGGTTGCAGCTGTTTCTTCTTGCTGGAATATTTCTTGTTTGCCATGAAGCCCTCTGTGGCTGATGCAGAATATATAAAAAAAAATGACACCCAGTGGCTACACGCTGCCTGCAGATTGGTTCCAGATGTCTCTTTTGGAGTGATCTTCCTTTCCCCAACCATGCTTTTTTGTCGGGGGGGGGGAGCACTTGGCTGTGCCTCTGTATTGGAAAGGAAAATTAGAGGTTCTGTTCGTAGTTTAACAGGTTTGGTATTCAATGTATTTTTTTTTTTACAAATTTAATGGATTTCTGCAACTGTAATTTGGGAAATAGGGCCTGAATAGGAACCACCATCAAAAGAATAATCTTCAGAGAGTAGCAGACAGCTAATAAAGCCTGTTGATATTCAGAAATGACATTGAACAAGTTCATCACTCATTATCTTTTGGCTGACTATATCTCAAGATCCAAACCTATGATGCCAGTAGCTAAAATGGTTCATCCAGCAGAGCTATTTCCAAATGTAAGTTTTCTGCAGGGATTTTTTTTTTCTCACTTAAAAGTACTTACCATTGTGCCTTTTAAGGGTCTATTGAAAACCATTCAGTGAAACTTTCTTCATTACTTAGTAGTTCCCCCTTCCCCCTTTTATCAGAGTATGGCTTCTGTTTTAGCATGTGGGAATATCAAAATGATGGCCTCTTTCTTGAAGTCCTCCACCATGCCCTAATGTAACTTCACCCTGGGTCATTTGTGGGACTGTCAAATTGGTGAATTCCTTGCTTGCTGCTTCTGCTTAGTAAATTTAAACCAGCTAGAATTGGCTTCTTGCTCACCCAACTCTGGTGAATCCACGACTACTGCTTAATCACACCAAGCACTCTTACTGGTCCTTCTTTTCCTCCGTGTATAGTTGCATTCCAGAAATTAAATTACTTCCCCCTCTTCTTTGCTGCCTCCTGGGACTTCAAAGACTGAAGATAGTAAAGAAGTGGTTAGACTTCAGTAAACATACTGCAGTAGTACATACTACACAGACTGTGCTTGCATTAAGAAGGCCTGGATTACACTGATTTTGCATGCTGTGTACAAAGTAGTCATCCCAACAATCTCAGAGTAATACTCAAGAAAAGTTAATATCTACACAATATATTGAATTTCAATATATGCTACTATTATATATTTAGTGATAGTAAAGTATGCTAAGTAATGTATTGGACATAGGAGTGGTGTGAGAAGTCCAAGGTGGATCTGTAGGAACATTTAATCTGCACATATTTTATTTTCAAATTGCCATCTCTATTTTTACACCAATTTAAAACCCCTAAAATTCTGGCCAGGTAAATTAAAAAAAAAAATGATAGGCAGCAACCTTATTCTATAATCTAGTTATATTTCTATGCACATTACTACTTTAGCAGTTATGAAGTAATTGGAACTATATTAAAACCAGAGGAAAGTCTGTTCCTTTTTAAACCTTATTTGACAAATTCCCTTTCCCTGGAAAACCACTTTAGGAACGGTGGTAATGTGGTCAAAGCCAGAATAAGCTTTCTGTATGGTTGCCAGGAACTTGTGGCTGACTTGGAAAGAGCAAAGATTCCTTCTGCTGCCTGATCAGATGTGCCTTCATCTTCAGCACCGAAAATCTCAAGTGCAAAAGATTGGAGAGGCCCAGCCCAGATCTTTCCACTCTACTGAGTTAATGCTTTCCTTTTTAGTTTCAGTTCTCATGCAGCCTCACAAATGTGACTGGTTAGCGTGGCTTCTATTAGTGCTTTCAAAAGTTCCTTTTGTGTTTTTAGTTTCACCAAAGAGATACCATTTCTGTCTAGCATATGATTTATTGCTAGCACTTTCCTTTTTGAACAGCTCATTCTTTTCTTTTCTTTTCTTTTTTTTGGGAGGGAGGGATATTTGCAAGAAGGAATTATTTTTAGTTTTATGTTCTTTGCTTTTGTATTAGAAAGGAAATAAGGAAGGGGAAGAAGACAGGAAAATGTCCCATCACCAGTGTAAAAGTTCAATGCAACTGCTAGTCTGTTGCTTTCTGTACGTGGATTGTTTTTCTCTTTCACCCCACAGAGGAATATATGCAGCTCCTCCTGTGTTGAAGTTCTGAAGCTTGAATGGAAAGATCCTCATCTGCATCTCTTGGTTGGTGATGCCAATAACCTCTGAGGGATATAGCAAGTTCAATTTCATGTGAAATGTTCCTTGTCTGAGATGCCTTTCCCCCCAATCTGTTAATGATTCTGTTTCCCTTTTTGCCTTTGGTAATAGAGTACAGTAGTTTGTATTGCACCCTTTTCTATCTCCAGTGCTTGAGTCTCCTGAACCTTCCAGGAATCAGAGGGGACTGCTTGGATTTGGTTTGCATGCCTAAAGCTTTCCATTGGGTTCAGTCTGAAGCCCAGCTACTCTCCTCCTATTTATAACCTCTGAGAATTGTTGGGTAATAAGATTAAGAGAAGACAAGAAATATAAATATCAACCTTTATATGTATTTCAAAAGAGAAAAATTAGGCATAAAATATATCTTTAACAGTACATAAAAGTAACAACAAACAAATAAATAATATAATACAAATTATATTTGTATTATACACAAGAATTGTTGGGTAATAAGATTAAGAGAAGACAAGAAATATAAATATCAACCTTTATATGTATTTCAAAAGAGAAAAATTAGGCATAAAATATATCTTTAACAGTACATAAAAGTAACAACAAACAAATAAATAATATAATACAAATTATGTTTGTATTATACACAAGACAGCAGGGAATTAAGGAAAAATCAGAAAAGCAAAACAAGTAAGAAGAATACTTCTCTTATACAGAGTTCACCACCTGATTCAATTATGTTCACAGCCAAAAAGCAATCTCTTGTTAACTCTATAGTTAATTCTATTAAAGCTGTAGATCTTGCAAATATCCAACAAGAATTAATGCTGAAACCAAACAAATAAATAATATAATACAAATTATATTTGTATTATACACAAGACAGCAGGGAATTAAGGAAAAATCAGAAAAGCAAAACAAGTAAGAAGAATACTTCTCTTATACAGAGTTCACCACCTGATTCAATTATGTTCACAGCCAAAAAGCAATCTCTTGTTAACTCTATAGTTAATTCTATTAAAGCTGTAGATCTTGCAAATATCCAACAAGAATTAATGCTGAAACCCTCTTAAAAGAGCCTAGAATCTTGTGTGATACTTTCCTGCAACCAGCTATTCTCAGTTTTGTTCTTCTTAATTCTGAAATTTGTGACCAGTCTATTATTGGCCCCATAGAAAAGTTGGAAGCAGAACAGTGCAACCTTAATGAACCACCAATGCTTGGTACATATTCTTTCTTTTGGAAAAGTGCTGTGGCAAAATGCTGGTGTGGAAATTTCCTATCTTCCTTTGGGCTGCAATTTCACTTACAGTTTACTTTATATGGATTCACTGGTCTCTGGATATTTAGTATCTTACTTTTTTCTAGCCCTGTGTATATATCTCATTCCCAATCACTGAATAGTGGAAAGAAAAAAAAATACAGTCAAGCAGAGAGGATTTGTAGAGCCTTAATAAAAATTACTAAAAATCATGTAATTTAAAAATAATTTTTCCTAATAAGCAAGGAAAAACAGTGATGGTTAGAAATCCAATCTGAAGCATTTTTATCATTCTTGAATCCATTATTTTCACATTTCCCACTTCTGATCCTCATAGAAAGGTTCAACCCTCTAAAAAATTGAATTTTTTAATTCAATTTTATTACATTAGGTCTTCTTATAACCTTTCTGCCAAGTAGCCTAACCATTTCCACTGAGCAACCAGGAACCCGGATCACCAAATAGATTCTTTTGAAAGGCAAATGAATGCAATCGTAATGCATTTACTGAAGATCTGTTTTATGAAATATACTCAGCAGGAACATAGAGTTTTTTAAAGGTCAGATATTAACAGTTGTAAGTGCTCCTTCCTGGGATCATTTGCACTCATTTTTAACTGAAATTAGTTTATTTTTGTTTCATACCTGAACCACTTTCTTTTATATAGTTGCATCAGGTCAATATGACTAATATTAAATGATGAGTTTTGGTTTTGAATCCAACATGCTAGTATAGTGGAGATCCACCCAAAGATGAATATCTTTAAAGGTTCTTTAAAGAGATTCTTTAAAGAGCTGTAAAGCCTAGTTTATCTCTGCTTATTAGTCTTCTGAGATCTTTCAGCCACCTTTTATGAAGTAACTGTACTGACAACATCTTTTATGTTGTCTTGTTCTATAGAATTCTTTTCCTATTATGTCTCAATGAAAATGTACTTTAGTAGTTCCTGCATCAGTGTTAATTTTACCAGGCAGCATACAGTGCTTTCTCTCTATAGAGATTTTTTTTAACCTCCAGAGTTCTTGTGCAAAAAAAATAAAAATAAAAATAAAAATCTGTTGTTCTGCAGGCTTTGATTTTGCTGTTCAAGGTTTAATTCACTTGCGCTTCAATTTGCCCCCTGACCTTTAATTTTCAGCCTAAGGTTTAATGCATAGGGAATTTATGGGTGTGTGTGCAGCATGCTGAATTTTGATCAACTGCATGTGAAGCCTTAACATATACTGCAAACGTATTTATTGTATTGATGTTCCTCAGTCTTTACTATGCACTGTAAAATATGGGAACAATATGTTGCGCAGTTCATAAGTAAAAGGGCAATAATGTTGGGAGAAAATTTAATTAACAACAAATCATGAGAGGGTTCTGAAGTTAAAGACAGTAATAGAC